ATAATCCATTGACTTAATGGATAATGAGAAGGAATATCTAAAACGAATCATAACAATAATGATTGTTATACACAACGATTAATTGTATTGAACAATATGCTATTATAGGCGGTTTCTACTCCTTGTGGAGGAGTAACAGGTGTAAGTAAGTAAGTAAGTAAGTAAGTAAGTAGGTAGGTAGGTACGTAACTATCTAGAATATGATCAAGGGAATGAATATTCGCTTAATATGATACTATTCATACTTATAATAATGTATCATGTATAGACAAACTATTAACTATAATAAGTCATTATATCACCATCAATTAACCATTATTGTCCTATACACATAATACTTCCCATTTGTTCTCACATCTAATAACATTGAATAGTATAAGAATTAGAATAATGGTATCGTATGTAGTTACATGTTCAATTGTTTATATTATTTGTTATAACTCTTCGACTTTTTTTTTGTTTTTCCGAAATCCTCATCACCAACTGTTAGATCTTGTTATGTTTGAATGGTGAATTGTTTTGATCTTTTGTTCCTTTTCTTTTTTCAATGCTTACTTGTTATTATTTGATTGTTGTTGATTGTTATGATAGAAAATGCTGATCATTTATACTTAAAATAAAAGGGACTTTTCTTTTCAATTCCTATGATGTAAAAATAAGAATACAAAGACTAGTATAAGTGATGTTAATTATTAAACGGTAATTACATTTTGAATTCAAGGAACAATCAAGATGTATTGAATATTCGTTTCATCTTAGTTGTAGGACTCGTTGATAGTGTGTGTGTGTGTGTATGTTCATCTAATGCCATTTCAGGAGTTGAGATTGAAAGATTAAGGTTAGAAGAAGTGCACTCTGCCTTTAGATCATTCCAATTAAAGTCAGTCTTTTATTTATATCAGTCAATCAGCAACAACGTAATACTTCGCACGTACCTACATCAGTTCGAATTGCGATACCACATTAGCACAGAGATGTAGTTGTCGATTCAAACCCATAGTGGTAGAGGTAGTAAAACTATAAGCAATAATTGAGAACATTAGGGTTTGAAGATGTTATTCAAGGAGTACTATCCAGTGACATGGATTTGGAAAGAGAATAAAAGAGACAAAGAGAATTCAGGAGATTTGAATTTGGGAGAACACAAAGAGTGGATGCACCTGCGCCCTTGCAAACGATTTTGAGCCATATCATTCAAGATCTCTAACCATTGGTTGCTATCGTTTCGCAGATCCCAACCAGGTGGTCTACACCTAACAACATGACTCAGTCCACTTGTCAGTGACTTCATGGATTTGTGCCATGTTGTGGTCTGGCCGCCCCTAACTTTCTTCCAACCTACTCATACACCATAAAACATCGTACATTGGAGCAGTAGGTGATTGAGCATACGTAACACATGTCCCAGACATCTCAACTGATGAAGTTTTACAACTTCATCAATTGATTTGCCATCCGTACCTAGTACCCGTTTCCTAACAACTGCATTACTTACTCGGTGGTCACACGATATACGAGCACTGCTTCGAAGACACTTATGATCGAATACTAGTAACCTACGAATATCCTCTACAACATAGAACGTCGTACATACATTAGCATAGAGATGAAGTTGTCGATTCAAATCCTATAGTAGTAGAGATCATAAAAGTATAAGCAGTCATTAGAAAGATTACGGTTAGAATATGTTATTCAAGGAATATAATTCAATGAAGTAAATTTGGAAAAGAGAAGAAGAAAAGGGATAGTTTAAATATTAAATGTTCTTACAGTCTTTTAACATACCTTTTATATGATCCTTTATTTGACTCTAGATAGATTGTGTTTATTGTTTGTTATCATGATATATACATGTTACTAGTACTTGTATATAATGATTGACTTGCGTTAGTGAATAACTGAATTTCAAATATTTACATTTTGTACATTCAATGATCAGAACAGACAATCAATGAGGATGATGAGAAAGAAGTGAAACAGATTATAGAAAGTATATTAGCCCCTAAATGCCCTGTTACTGTCGAGAGTGGGGAGAGTCCACTCACCCTCTCCAAATGCTCTCACATGGCCACGTGCATACAACCATTGTCAGTGAAGTCTTACTCAATGCCTTCTCGTGGCAAGGATGTTGTTTATGAAATTAAGAGGACGAAAAGCGAACGTCCGGCGCTTTAACTGGGTTGGTGGACATAGAGAGTCCACCTAGAGGAGTTGCAATACCCTGATTCCAAATGAATAGTACATATGGGCTCCACTATCCTGACCAAACAAATGGTGTATGAACCAATCGTTGGTCGCCGGATACCATGGGACTGCATCTCCTTAAGATGCTCCACTGCCTTGTGGATCAGACCTTTAAGCCGAAAGGTCGGAATGTGTGCCCCCTGCTTCGATTTGGGCATCTGTGCAGTATCACAACACTCACAAAAAAATCAAATAAGTTTTGTGTGAGGCATATATATTTTGTGCCTTCTTGTATCAATATCTGTATGTTCAAATAAATGGTAAAAATATTTCTTGAGAAGAAGGAATAGATTAATCTGTCCAGAGGCTAGAATAACCTATATGGGCTCGACATAGAACCAACCCCTACAATACTCAATTAAATTGTTTAATCTGAAAAATAGAAAACAGTTCACTAAAAATAAGTTTTTTTTTGAATATTATAGTAATTTAATAGTTAAGATCATGAGTCAATTGAAGCTAAACTACCATGGAAAACGTAGAAGCACTGGAAGGGCCAGAATCATGGATGCTCACCGCTGAGGAGTCCTTTACTAGGACGAAACGGCCGTCAAATAATACTTCCAGGTTTTCCATGGTGGTCTACATTCAATTGAATCATGATCTTAACTATTGAAATAATTTTTGTGTCACGTCAACATAATATGGATTACTAACCACACAGAACTTGAATAATTTTAAACACAAATGAATTGAATGAATATTCTGTCAAGTTTTTTATTGGTAACATTTTCTCTTTAGGAATATATAAAAAACCTCAAAATCTTCTAGCGAGAATTCATGACTCGCAGGATTCGGATAATTTCCTAATGGTATTGAATAACTATCATCGGAAGCCAAATGATTGGTTCCATGAATTAGGAGCTCTCCACAAGATCTCATTGCCTTAAATTTGTTATGTGTTAGTGTTATTTCACAATTGATTGATCACTGGGTAGTGATCAATATCATGTGTATCAAGTCCTTATTAGTTCAGATTGAATGCTATCGACCATGTTGCAATGTGGCTACCAGTCTAAGTGACTTGATACTGCGAGCACTATGTTGAGATTAGAGATTAGTTGGTGTTATTTACTAGGATGAATCATAATTGATTGATCACTGGGTGGTGATCAATGTCATGTGCATTAAGTCAACGTTCAACCATCATTTAATTAGGATGAATCAAATGTTTTCTAGTTTTCAATGATATTTCAGGTAACATCGATCTGTGACGAATACAGCCTACATATTAGATTAATCTCCATAAAACATTTTTAATAATAAAAATATATTCACATCCTACATACTTGACTAAACCAGCTACTTGAATGAGAACAATATGATGAATGAGTAGGAAGCAACAGAATCCAGAATACGTATACGGCTGATTTAGAAAGATACATCTTTCTCTTTCGGGAAATAAAGTCACAATCTCAACCAATAGCGTATTCCTCTTTCTTTGAAAAAATAAAACCTAATTTTGAGTAATAACTTGCTGTCATTAGCATTTAGCTTATGTTTGAATGTACTAGCGTGTTTCTGTTTTGAATTTAATGGTCAATATCACAGCCTAAACGAATGATTTTAATTAGTACTAACTGATTGATCGTCAGTTTTCTAAGAGGTTGATCACATCCTCGATTTCTCATTGGTAATATCTTTGATTATGGCAATGAATGACTGTAGCTTAGATCTTACAGGGAGTTCAGTTTCCTGAAGACTACAGGTACACCTTGCTGTTTATGTATGTCAACTAACATAGGCCCTGAATAAAACAGGGATTTCTATTGATGGTCCATAGCTTTCTGTTTATTACATCCTATCTTTATCTTTGAATTTATGGTAACTTGACAAAGACAATATGATTTTATAGGGCGAGACTCTAATTTAGGGACGACCTTTGAACGAATTTTAAGTGACCTTGAGAATATTAGCCAATCAGAAGACAGCTAGTATAAAGTAAAAATATATTAGAAGCAACTAATGGATTACTGTGAATATACTTCTTTTACATGGTTTAAGAACTTGTCAAGGTTCGCTAAAGGTTCAGATGTTTTGAAATCATATTGCATACGGTATAAAAAGTCATAAATTCCAAGTACCTGTCGCGTCTATCTACGAAAATACTACTTACACAATCCTCCTTTATACTACGTCCCCTGTTGGATTTTCGCCTTCTCACTACCGTTTCTTCTATCTGCACGATACATCCTACTCCTCCGAATGATTGGTTTATACGTGTTATTTTAGTTGCACATATGTCACGACAGTACTCATACCACTGGACTGCTGAAGTCTCATTAACAACTGCAAATGCCGCAACCAGTGTTACTGGTGTCTTTATCACCCAAATTGCAACTATTATCATGATCTGCCTCAGTTTCAGTCGCGATCGAGCAAAGAAAGTCCCCGTTCTAGCAGACTTTCTCCTCCAACATGAAGGACAACGAAATATAATCTCACCACGGTTATTTGCACACTTTACTGCAGTCATTTGATAACCGCAGTCTCACGTACAAGAACTTTTTAGTAATCCTATCCCTTGTAGCCTCTCAATAATCATCCCTTCTCTAAAATCCGCTGTAAACCGATCATATGAGAGCATCAGGTGTTAAACTTGGCTCCTTGACCTTGAAATGGCTCAAATGCATCTGATTGGCTCGTCCCTAAATTAGAGTCTCGCCAAAGAATCTTCTCAATTATTGATCTTTTTTTCTTTCTAAAAAGTTTCTCTTTGTTTATTTTATGATAAATATTTTTTTATTTATTTATAGATCTGTGATTTTGGTTTAGCTCGTATAGCTGATCCAGAATCAGAACAATCAGGTACATTAACTGAATATGTGGCTACACGTTGGTATCGTGCACCAGAAATAATGCTTACATCAAAATTATATACTAAAGCTATTGATATTTGGTCAATTGGTTGTATTATGGCTGAAATGATTAGTAATCGTGTTCTATTCCCTGGAAAACATTGTATCCTTTAATGTTGTTTGTTTTTTTTCGAATTACATATCAACAATACAACATGTATTTGTTTATTCTGGATTAGTTTCGTCAATGGATACTCTATTAAAGCTTAAATTAAAAAAAAAAAAGGGGTACTAGGTTTAGGTTTCAGTATGAATCAAAACTACACTAGGATGTCATGTACATATCCAAATGAGGAATCTTAAATAGGATATCTTTGTTATTGACTGTTCAAATGTATCAGTATGTTACTTTGTTTGATTGATTTACAGGTCATTCATTATGGATATTAATACGTAAACAAATGGGTCCATCAAGGTGCTTAGTACCTGTGCGGTTGCGCTACAAAATTGAGCTGTACTATTCAGTTTGTAGCGTTAAAGTCTATATGGTGTCTGGTTCTCCTGTTAAGCCAAATTGACTTGTACTGATCGGGTTATAAAATTTAAGCCTGAGTGGTATCTGGCTCTCCTGTTAAATGGGATTGAGCTGTACTATTTGGGTTGTCACGTGAAAGTGTGAATGGTATCTGGATCTCTTGAAAACCCATGTAAAATTACCCTGACTCATAAGGGTATATTATATAGCTATGAACTATAACTAGTTTTAAGGTTGGTTGTATGTAGTATAAGCTATATTGATATATAGAGTTGAAGGTCTCATATGAGACTGGAGGTTCACCACTGATACTGAGGATGGTTCAACATGATTACTTTGGCAAGTTTCGCTCACTGCTCATACGTAAAATTGGTTTGCTGGTTAATCGATTCCATTCATACTGGTGGTTGCTTTTCAGTGTCTTCAAGGTCCATTGTTATTGAGACATTGTAAAGCATATCGCCATTACTAACATTAATGAGTTTGACTGTCGTGTAAATGGAATAGGTCAGCTTTGGCCTGTTCATGCTGTGCATAATAGATTCACGCGATCACTGATCAGAATAATTATTATACATGTGACGTGAAAGTGTATGTGAATGGTGCGAATGGTCATTCAGGGTGCTTGGTACCTATGTGGTTGCGCTACAGGATTGAGCTGTACTATTCAGTTTGTAGCGTTAAAGCCTATTCAGTGTCTGGCTCTCCTGTTAAGCCAAATTGACCTGTACTGGTCGGGTTATAAAATTTAAGCCTGAGTGGTATCTGGCTCTTCTGTTAAATGGGGTTGAGCTGTACTATTTGGGTTGTCACGTCAAAGTGTGAATGTTATCTGCATCTCCTGAAAATCAATGTAAAATTACCCTGACTCACAAGGGTATATAATATAACTATGAACATAAACAAAACACCCCCCTTGGTTATTAGATGTAAATTAACCATTCAATTGATAATAAAAAAAATATACCCAGACAGATATTATATTTTCTTTTAAGAACTCTTGATAAATCTTTTAAAAACACTTGAGAAACCATAGAATATATTCTGAATATACTTCAGCCACTTAATGTAATTTAAAAAAAAAAGAACAAACAACTTCTAAACCGTTTCAAAGAAACGATGAATTGCAAAATGGTCTAGTGGTTAAATGATCGCGCGTGAGACCAGTTAGTCATGGGTTCGAATCCCATGAGGCAAGATCGTGGGTGCGCACAACTGAAGAATCTCACAATATGACGAAACGGCCGTTTAGTACTTCCAGGTTTTTCATAATGGTCTACCTTCAATTGACTTATGATTTCAACTATTGAAATTGCAAAATAATTTAGTCTATTATCAATTTTAGAATCTTGTTCTAAAACTTTTGATCTTATCTAGTCTTTTAAGTTTCATTATTTTCTGTTGATAATCTTAATCTTTAAAATAAAGCTTTTTCTGTACTTCCAACTTTCTATTGTTTTTTTTATTTCTGTTCAGAGTTCAAAGGTAGGAAGATTCATGAGGATTGAAAAGTCAGTGTTTAAGCGTTCAAGTCTATTCTGATAATGTTGTTCATAAGAACTATGAAAGCTCCACAACTAAAAACCATCCAGCTAAGAGAATAATACTCCACCAAATCCATAACAGTTTGGAACTTGTAACGTTCATGTTTATCGATAAGTTCATGATATTTAGCTATGTAGTTTAAAAAGGAGTGATCGAGATCAAACCATTCAGCTTAGAGAACAAAACTCCATCACGAATGATCATTCTCTATTATGTCATCAATTACATTTTTCACATAATGATCTCCTCCCCCCCCCCCGCTTCCAGCCAAACAAGTTAGTGAAGCCTAGTAGGCTTTTCTGAAGAGAAAACAGGCCATATCAAAGCATGGCACAACTACCGGGGCTAGAATAGCTGTTTTTTGAAATCCGTTGGAGTTTGCTTTCACAAGCAACTCCGTATGTTACATGCAACACTTCTGTAATTTTTTTTGTCGTTTTCCAATCCAAATGTAATTGTGCTGTGTTTCTCTGTGGATATCGGTAAAAGTGAGTAATTAGCCCGATCTCCACCACTCGGGTTACCGCTCACGTTACTTCATGAGTCATTCGTCCCACTATCCAGGAAGCAGGACGCGGACGTCTGAGTCAGATTTTGCCTCCCACATAATGATCTATTTATCTTTAATTCATTTCCTTTACATACTTCCACTTTTATTTCTTGAAATGATAACATCAAATAACAGATATTGATCAATTGAACTTGATATTACAAGTTTTAGGTTCACCATCAAAAGAAGACTTTGAAACAATTGTAAATCTTAAAGTGAGTTTTATTTATTTGCATTACGTTTTATGAAAGTTTTTAAGCTATAAAGCTATATGACTATGTAGAGCTGAAGATCTCATATGAGACTGGAAGTTCGCGATTAATAATGTGGATGGTTCGTCATTACTTTGACAAGTTTTGTTGACTGTTCATGCGCAGAATTAGTTTGCTGGTTAACCGATTCCATTCATACTGGTGGATGCTTTTCACTGTTCTCAAGGGCCATTGTCATTAGGACATTGTAAAGCATGTCGCCATTTCTAACAATAATGAGTTTGGCTGTCTCGTAAGCGGAATAGGTCAACATTAGTCTGTTTGGGCTGGGCATAATTGATTCACGCGATCATTGATCAGAATGACTATACATATAACATGACTGTGTATATGAATGATGCGAACGATTAATCAGGGTGCATGGTATCTGTGTAGTTGCGCTATAGGATTTAGCTATACTATTCAGATTATAGCGTTAAAGCCTATATAGTATCTGGTTCTTCTGTGAAGCGGGATTGAGCTGTACTGCTCGGGTTATAAAGTTTAAACCTGGAAGGTGTCTGGCTCTGCTGTTAAACGGGATTGAGCTGCACTGTTTGGCTTGTCACATGAAAGTGTGGATGGTGTGTGGTTCTCCTGAAAACCAATATATATATATATATATATATATATATATATATATATATATATATATATATATATATATATATATATTCATAAAAATGTTTTTCCTCTTGACTACACTCAACAATCATCTAGCACGCAGATAAAGATGGTAACCTACTTACGTCTGTTACCCTCGTGAATCACAGTCCGTCGGCCAGGAATCTCCGACCAAATCTATCCTTGATTCTTCACAATTGTTGCTAAGTGCAATTCATTCTTCTGATTTTTGCCTCTGATCCCAGGCAATTAATTTTTTGGTCTTCCTCTATTCCTTTTCCCTTCACGATTTCAAGTTAGCGTTTACTTCGTGATGCCGTCTGATAATTTCCTCAATGCATGTCCTACACAAATCCAATATCTTTTCCTAGTTTCCTACTCAGCTGAAAGCTGGTTTGTTCCCTCACACAATAGGCTGTTTCTAATTTTGTTCGGCTAACGGATACTGAGTATCTTGCTTAGACAACTATTTATAAGTATTTGTACACTTTTGATGATCTTTGTAGTAGTTCTTCACGTATCATCTTGTGCAGTGAGACTATCCTGACGTTTGTATCAAAGATTCTTACTTTGATATTGGTTGACAGTTGTTTTCTGTTCTAGGTGTTATTCAACTGTAGGAATATTGCGCTTGCTTCACGATTCCTCAGGTTTACGTCTGCATTGGATGCTCCTTGTTTATCAGTGATGATTCCCAGAAATATAAATGTCTCCCCCACTTCCAGTTCTTCTCCATCAAATGTGACTTCATTGGCATTCCCTGTGTTGTATTTGAGGACCTCAAATTTTCCCTTGTGTATGTTGAGGTCTATTAATACAGAGACTACTGGTACTACACAGGTTGTATTTCGCTGTATCTGTTTGTATGTGTGTAGAATAGGAGAGTTAGGTGATTTGCGAAGTCCAAATCATTTGGTTTCATCTAATCTGTTCATTGTATTCCGTGCCTTTCCTGAGATATGTAGATCTTCATAATCCATCCAACCACCGGGAGAATGAAAGATGAGAGTGAGCAACCTCATCTTTCCGTATGTTGGTGATAGTCTTCCAATGTACTCCATAATGTCGAGGATGATTGCACAAGATAATCTCCCAACACTGTTGAATGCTATTTCATAATCAAGGAAGTTGATGTATAGTGGTGAATTGCATTCAATTGATTGTTCAACAATAATCGTTAGTGTCGCTAATCAGTCGATCGGTAAGTGATCGATTCTAACGACAAGGGGCTTTTTGATGTGGTAGTTGTGCATCTAGTAAATCTTTGATTTCGTTCAACAACAGTTGTTCTTCATATTGTGTTGGGATGATCCAGACAAGTTCTCGCAAAATACACGCAAGGATCAGGAAACCTTAATAAGCATTTCATCCAATCAGCGTTCACTTGGAGTTTAGCCAGAAACACCAAGGATATGAAACGTCACATGTAGAGGTTCTGATTGGTTGGTTGTTATACCGCTACTATGTTTAGTAGCATTCTAGAATCTTCGAGCAACCCAAGGATATTTAGAATATTATAAAACCCTCTGTTTTCTGTATTACAACGAACCTGGGAGTAAGGTACTTTTCGCATACTTTGCGCCTTCTCTCACGTGTTCAGGTCGCTGTATAGTTCCAACTTGGGTGTTTCAGAATAGCTTAGGAATCGAGTATAGCGTTCAAAAGCGCAAGACTTATCATATTGGTTTCCTTTTTTTCTAGTAGATAATCTGAGGCTTGTAACGTATTGCTGAGAGCAATCTTGAACTCATTGAGTTTGTGAACATCTCGAAGAAAGTTTGTGTTCAAATGTTGTAAGACTGTCTGTTGAGTTATGGAATGCTTGTTGAGGTTGAGTTTCAGCTGGACTACCACCAGATGGTGATCTTAGAGTGGATGACCTCCTGTCTATGTTGTGTGCTTACAAGTTCCATGGACCTCGTATATTTTAAGTTGTAGATGTGGTTGATTTGGTGTTTTGTGGTGTGATCTAATGAATCGCATGTAACTTAGTGTATACGTTTGTGATGGAGAATGGTGTTACCTATAACCGTTTTGTTGAAAGCATATATATTTGTTAATCTGTCACTACAGTCGTTTATTTTTCCTATTACCTGTCACCCGATTACGCCCTTATATTCGTTGTTGTCGTTCCCGATTATGATGTTGAGGTGGTGCGTCCAAATGATGAAGTGTTTTGTTGGTGAGTTCTGTAGTAGAAATTTCAACCTTTCGTTGAACTAATGTTTGTCCTTACGTTCACTGCCATCATGAGTGAATTGATGGAGGTAAATGACATTCATTGTTATCTTTTCCTTCTTTATTTCAAATGATCCTGGATCTGTGAGATCTTTATTTTATAAGTACATTACGCACTTCTTTGGATAGGATTAACGCAAATACTTGTGTCTATTATGCATTTTCTACCTTATGATAAGAATATATCTACACGTCTCCCGATTCTGTTCGATTTGCGTCTAGTGGGTGACCCTTTTGTTTCCGCAACTGTTTGAATGGTCCTCTTGGTCTCTCAAATTTTCCAGACATTCCATGTACCTGCATTAATTGTTGTTCTCATTGTCAGAACTGGTAATGACATCGTGATTTCCGAAGATTCTCGTTTTTCACTTCGAAACTCAATAACTTTTCTAAATGCAGACCCTTTAACTCCAACCGTTGAGTTTAAACCTAAGTTAGACAACAATTGAAAATTCAGGAGTACTGAATAGTTGTCCTGTCCCAGTGTGGGACTACCTAAAACTGCTCATGCACTCCTCCACTGTCAGAGATACAACCCACGACCTTCTGTGTCACTTAAATATCCTTAATCTTTAGACCACTGAGTCAGGATTCATTGATATAATCTGTAAATTCAAATAATCCCCTATTATTTGGTGGTCATCTTTTGTTGGTACTTTCTGCACACACGACCATTGTTTAACTTTACTGGTTTCATGGTTTCTCACTAGAAATCAGAGAAATTCCTCTCAAAGCTAATCACTAGTTAGCATACGACAATTTTCAATATGACGTTACGGAGTTTCTTGAGTGTTATTGTTAGCATTCAAATAATGAATATATTCTTGGGATGAAATAAACTACAGTTACCTCACAATTGATTGATCACTTCGTGGTGAGCAATGTCATGCTTGTCTAGTCCTTATTATTAGTGCAGATCGGATGCTATCGACCATGTTGCAATGTGGCCACCAGTCTAGGTGACTCGACTCTGCGGGCAACCCTGGACCCGGGTTTCCTGTCGACTACCTCCAGCCACCATTTAATTACATTTACCTATCAAATTAATTGATTTTATTCAATTACTACTATCAAGAAATTTTTGTAATCATGTTGAAAAAGAAATATATTTACCATTTATTTTTTATATCATTTCAGGCACGTGCCTATTTAGAATCATTACCACATCGTACAAAAGTACCATGGAAACAATTATATCCATACGCTAGTGAATCAGGTTAGAAATTACATTTTTGTGAATTTCAGCTTTTAGTTGTTATCAATTTGTTTTTGATCATGTTAGATGTTTCATGATGATGAGTTAATGCCCTGGTACGGCCGAGAGTGGGAAGAGTCCACGTATATAGCTTCTGCCAAGGAAGTCCTACTCACTGCCTTCTCGCACTACGGGTGTTGTTTACGAAAATGAGAGGACGAAAAGCGAATGTTCGGCGCTTTAACCGGATCACAAATCAATGGTGCACATGGGCTGGCTCCAGTATCCTGAAGGAACAAATGGCGTATGAACCAATTATCGGTCACCGGCTGGCTACCATGGGACTGCATCTCCTTACGATGCTCCACTGCCTTGTGTATCAGACGTTCAGGTCGAAGGCTCGGGTTTGGTCCCCTAAGCAAACCACCTGCTTCGGTTTAGGCACCCGTGCAGTATCACAGCCCTCACACATATCAAATAAAATTTGTGTGAGGCATATATATTTGGTGCTTCCTTGTACCAATATCTATGTGTTAAAATAAATAAAATTTGAAGGGTGGTTATTGAAGACAAAGTTTTAGCAATTCAGTTAGCCTACAGTGATCTGTATTTCCAACGTTGTTCAATATTATTATTATTTCATTGACATAAAACATAAGAACTTGATCTATGAAAAATATTTTTGATCAGAATGGGGTTTGTGATGATTGTGGTAATTTTGATAGGTAAATTGATGAGTCGATTCCATGCTCACTAGTGACTGACTTCAAGATGATTTCTTGAAGTTCTAGTTAGAAGGCATGACCAGTGGAGTTCAATCCGTGTCGAGAAGAGACAGATATCTACCTCAGACAATATATGAATGGTTTTTGAGCCAATCGTGGATTGATGAAAGTTAGGCATTAACACCGTTGGATACCGGCTCAGTGGTCTAGAGATTAAGCGTTCGCACATGAAGCCGAAGGTTCTGGGTTTGAATCCCACGTTGGGGAGTTGTGGACGCGCACTGTTGAGGAGTTCCATACTAGGACGGAACAGAAGTCCAGTACTTCTAGGTTTCTAATGGTGGTCTAACTTACATCGACTCATGAATTCAACTATTAAAAATAAATATTCTTAGCTTAAACTTAACTAGAATGTATTTAAAAAGAAGAAATCGTGACTCGGTCAGTATAAAAACGATGAATCTAAAATTGGACTTTAAAGGGAACATAACGGGTGATATTGTAACATGTCAACTGAAAAGATCTGCTGAAAAGACGTTTCACACAGCTAAGTTTCACATAATTCTCTCAACTCAACCAGTAATTACACAACAAATCAAGGATAGGTTACCGATGATGGGCTCCCTCATGTGTGAAACTTTGTCTTTGTCTTATCAATAAAGATTCTATATCGAAACACGTAATTATCATCTGAAATTCGCTGATTCCTTTCAAATACAATTAATTGAGACTATGGTTTATATTTTCATCTTAAAATGCTATTTCGGCCTTAGTTCCAACTGAATTCTTTTGATCATGTTGCAATGTAACTACCAGTTTAAGTCACTAGACCCCAGTATGCCTACTTCTATTTCATTGATAAACCAGTCGTAACTCAAAGACGTAATGGATAATGTTTTTACTTGTGCCACCAAATGATAGAGGTTTTGCATCCTACAGAGAGGTGGGGTTAGTTCCCTCAACAACAACAACAAAAATGCATTTATGAATTGTTGCTATAGTCTTAGATTGAGCAAAGGTTTTTGTTGATTATCTCAATACATCTAACATTGAAATAGTTTCATTGAATAATAACTTTCATCAGGCCGAAATGTAGAATATACATAAACGTTTTTCCACTAACAACATCCAATCAATTAATATGCTATAATGATATTGTTGATTATTTCTTTTCAATAATCATTATTATATAGCTCTGGATTTATTAGACAAATTACTATGCTTTGTACCATCACGACGTATAACAGTTGAAGATGCCTTAGCTCATCCATATTTAGAACAGTACTATGATCCAACAGATGAAGTAAGTTCTTGTATATTAATTATACATCAAATAATCTCAATGTTGTGTCGATTGATTGTTTATAATGATTACTCGTGAAGGAGCATAGGCCACCCACCAGCACTCGCCATTCAACCCTGTCCTGGGCAATCCTTTCAAGCTCTTTCCAGTTCTTATTCATCCTTTTCATATCCGCTTCTATTTCCTTACCTAATGTGTTCTTTGGCCTTCATTTTTTCCACTTCCCTTCAGGATTACAAGTTAGGGCTTGTTTCATGATGCAGTTTAATGATTTACGTGATGTATTTCCTATCCACTTCCAACATCCTTTCCTAATTTTCTCTTCAGCCGGAAGCCGGTTTGTTCTTTTCCACAGTAGACTTTTACTGATGGTATCCAGTCAATGAATGTTGAATATCTTACGTAGACAATTGTTTATAAATACTTGTATTATTTTGATGATGGTTGTATTAGTTCTCCATGTTTCAGCTTCGTACAGTAGAACTGTCTTGATGTTCATATTGATGATTCTGACTTTGGTATTAGTTGACAGACAGTCGTTTTGAGTTCTGTATGTTTTTCAATTCTAGGAATGCGGCCCTTGCTTTACCAATCCTCACCTTTACATCTACATCTGATTACTTCATATTGAATGGTAGGAGATGATTAACAGGATACTCTTCTCTCACATGTCATACCGACTGGGACTTATCTTCAGTAAAGCATATCCAGAGTCTAGAGCGAACCAACAGTACCTATCGGTTACGAACCAGAGTTACTTTTTACCATTGAGGGTTAGTCTATATGTGTGATATTGATCTTTCAAATTATATTTTCACGGATCAATCTCTGTTCATTGAGTTCTAGCAGCCATATCTTGTATTCTTATTGTCACAGCAATAAATATGGATTGAACTTTGAAACAGTCACAGGTGTACATCAACACACACACACACACAAACACGCACACACATACACATATAGGGAATATTTCATCGAACTTCGATAATACAACACGTACAATCAAGTGAAAAGAAAAAGATTAATCGATTTAAGTAATTAAAGACGTACAATTTATATGTATGAATTCTAAGGGGGGGGAAAATTAGAGAACATATTTTTCTAAAATTTGTTTTTTCTTTTTTCTTTTATTTTTATTATCGATCTAGGAATATTGACTTGAAAATGTGAATACATTTTGTATTATACTTTCTCGTGAATTAGTTGATGTTAAACATGAACACCGTTGAATACTGACCAGCTCAATAGTCTAAAGGTTAATCGTTCGCGTGAGTAATTGATAGATCCTAAGTTCAAATCTTTTCAGATGAGATCGTGACTATGCACTGTTGAGAGGGGTCTCATACTAGGATGAAATAGCCATCTAGTACTTTCAGGTTTTTCATTTAATAAAAAAAAACTATTGGAAATGTTGAATGATGTTGACTTAAGTTGATCTTCATAGAATAGTTCCACTTATTCTATTCTATTTATTTATTTATTTTAACACATAGATATTGGTACAAGGAAGCACCAAATACATAGGCGCCACACAGATCTCATTTGATATGTGTGAGGGCTGTGATACTACCTGGGTGCTCAAACCGAACCAGGTGGCTTTCTTAGGGGGCCACACCTGGAGCCTTTAACCTGAAGATCTGATCCACAAGGCAGTGGAACATCGTAAGGAGATGCAGTCCCATGGTAGCCGGTGACCAAGAAATTGGTTCATACGCCATTTGTTCATTCAGGTTACTGGAGCCCATGTGCACCATTGATTAGTGATCCGAGTAAAGCGTGGACATTCGCTTTTCGTCCTCTCAATTTCGTAAACAACACCCATAGTGCGAGAAGGCAGTAAGTAGGACTTCACTGGCAGAGGCTATAATGGGTGTGGCCACGTGAGAGCATTTGGAGAGGGTGAGAGGACTCTCCCCACTCTCGATGGTACCAGGACATTTGAAGGCTCCACTTATTCTACAACTTTATATAAATTTTGAGCTAAAGATTATCAATATATGCTTTATTTTTGTTGTTTCATCGTATTTATTCATATTCTACTTATCATCCGAATCTGACTATTCTAGTGATCTACTTAACAATTTCTCAATCAATATCTTCTAGATACTTAACTTTTAATTTCTATGAAACTATTTGTTAAGATCTTAAAGGATCATTATGTAATTTGTTGACAGTTTATTCAATCAAATTGAAAGTCATCTGATTTTATCGTACTAGCAACTGGTCACTTAATATATCAACTGATCAAATGTGTTTTAATAATGCGTTCAATATATGAATCAAATAAGAGAAACTGAGATAATTGGAAACTATAATTTATGAACGACCTTTGAGCGACGCTAAACTGATCATGAGAGTGTTGCCCTAATAACTAGGACCAAATAAGGATTATAAATCAGTATGTGAGGAATTAGATGTTAATAGGTTATTTAGCCAATTGGATGAGTGAATTTCACGCCAAAATCCGAGATCTGTTATCTTATACGTGATTGGTTCGTTGATAAATTATAGTTTCGCCGAAGATAAATTCCATGACATTAAAGCATTTTGAGATGGTAGAGAAGATATGTAGCTCAGGTGGATGATTTTGATAAAGTTTTGTTCTCTGAGCTGAATGGTTTGGTCGTGGAACTTTCATCATTCTTCTGAACGATTTTTATCTGAAGTTTGTACTGATGATGTCGTTCAGATAACCAAACCATCCAGTTCAGAGAACAAAACTCCATCAAAAAAAGAGAAGAAAATTAAAGCGTTTATCATTGAAAATAAATGAATATAGTTATAAACTGCAAGTATTTCTGACTATTTTAACACATTCTATTAGTTAATAATGAAATGGACTCGTTCAGAAGTTTTCTAGTTAGTATTAGTATAAGAAGTTCGTTTACATTATTAGTTGACTTCGACGAAACGACTACTGAAAATCAGGAAACAATGGTCAGATACTTTATCATAATCTTGTATTCCTTAAAAAAGTTCATCCATGTCACGGTCAGTGGTTGAATTGTGAAGTTTTAGATCACTTAGTTGGTATTCAATGCTTTACATTCACATAACTTTAGTTCATTCTCATCATTATATAAGCATCATTCATTGTCAACGATGAATAATCTTTACAATCTTGATAATAGGTTGAATTTTATCAATTATAACTTTTAGAGTCTATCTCTAATAAGAATCAAGTTATTATTCATCTATGGTTTGTAATCTACTAAATATAAATTCCAGTGTTCAATTATATTAGATTCTGTTTACAACCGGACAACTGACCTATATACTGATATCTAATAGGATTTCATCAATGTTAACTTAAATAGAACACATTTTTTTAATCAAAGATAGATAGTGACTAACAGTGGAATCCAGGACGCGCGTTTTGTCCTGCTACAAGTAAAACAATATCAAGTGAATTTAAACTTCATCTTATTGCACAAAAAGGTGTCTATCAGGACTCAGTAACTAAAGCGTTTCATGCGAACGGTACTGAGTTCAAGTCCCAGAGTGAACATCAACTCTGAGATTTAGGTCCATCCAACTAACGAGTTCAAACTAGGACGAAACGCGTATCCTGCATTCCACTACTAGCCACTATTCATCTTTGCTTAAAAAGCTTATGATTCAAGTCTATATCGAAGCAATCCGTACAGAATCCACATATTCCAACAACAGACTGACCAATTACAATCCTAAATAACAATGAGAAGATATAAGTAATAAACAACACCAAGTGAATTTAACACTTTACTTCATTGCATAAACAGGTGACTATCAAGATTCAGTAGCTAAGTGGATAAATGTGATGACGTTTAAAACGAACGGTACAGGGTTAGAGTTCCGAAGTGAATGTCAACTCTTGAATGTAGGTACATCCAGCTAATGAGTCCCAAATAAGATGAAACACGAGTCAAACTCGATTCCCCTGTTAGTCACTATCCATCTTTGCTCAAAAAAAGCTTATAATCTCTAAGACTATATCAAGGCAATCCACATAGAATCCACATATTCCAACAAGAAATTGATCAATTGCAATCTTAAGATTCAAGTAATAAACAACATCAAGTGAATTTAAATAGGACAAGTTAAACATCTTTTTTCTTTTTTTTTTACAAATGTTCTTTCTTTTTTTTTCTTCTTGATTTTCTAAAATATAAAATAGTAATTTTTACAAGGGTTACTTGATAAACAGAAACAGGAAACATTGTTACTACTACTACTACTACTACTACTACTACTACTACTACTAATAATAATAATAATAATAATAATAATAATAATAATAGTAATAATAAAGAGGGAGAAGAAGAAGAAAAAGAGAAAAAGGAAGAAGAAGAAGAACAGCAATTATAATCAGACAACTGATAATTGAAATCAAGGCACTAAACGATAATGTAAAGTATGTACATATATATATACATACATTAAGGTATTTATATGTCAGAAGGGGTTTTGTGAATATTATAGTAATTTTTAATGGTTGAAATCATAAATCAATTGAAGCTAGACCACCATGAAAAACCTGGATACACTAGACAACTGTTTCGTTCTATTGTGGGGCATTTCAATAGTGGTGCGCATCCACGATCCCGACACGTGAGATTCGAACACAAAACTTATCGGTCTCGCGCATGAACGCTTAATGAACTAGACCATGGATTCGACCAATATCTAATGATGTTAATATCTAACTTCAATTAATCTACGAAATTGAGCGACATATCCACTATTGTTTTCAGTGAGTTACTATGTCACAACAGACTCGGTTGAACTTCACTGTTCACTACTTCTCACTAGAATTCCAGGATCTACCTCTTGAAAACTGTCACTAGAATGTATATGTGTATTGGATAAATTAAACACTTTGATAGCATTGTGTTCTTTGAGTTGAATGGTTTAGTTGTGAAGCTTTCATCATTCTTCTGAATGATATCATCATCAGTACAAACTTCATGTAGAAGTAAATTAAACAATAGATAGTACAATTAATTGGATAAATCCATATT